GGGGGGGGGAGGTTATGGCACCTGCCCCTTTTAGATTCTATGTTTGTTTCAGAATTATTTCGGCACATGGATCGATTGTTTATTTTGTGCCAATGATTAGTCTTAAATGAACTTAATGGTCATACAGTGAAGTAAAATGTATTCTTTGTTTAGGTTACTAAGTTTCATCATGGTGCTACTTATTTCTGAAGATTATCTTTGGTTGAAGGTCTTCATAAAAACGATGCTTCTGCATTTATGGTGTATATGAAATATCGAAGACCGTGATGTTGTGTTTGTATCAATATGATTTCATCGTATATTGTATAATGGTAGCGTTCAACCTATATTATGATGTAATTAGAGTGATTTCCTTTGGTTAGCTAGGTACACTGTATTCCGTCTTTGCGTATTGCAGAGTTATCTTCTCTTGGGAGCAGGTATTGCTTGTTACGTCATTGGTTTGTGCGAGAAAATTCCGTCGTTTTCTCAAAAATTGATGAAGTTACTCTCACAAACAAGTGGCGTAACAATCAATACCTGCTCCCAAGAGAAGATAACTCTGCAATATACGCAAAGACGGAATAGTCGTTCATCACACCCCTATCTGAATACAAGATGGAGCACATAACTCATGTTGTCATTCCTCTCTCATATTAAACAGCTTTACCATAACATATAAGAAGTAACATAACAGGTCGTAAATGATTTCGAGCTCCCTGTTTAAATTTTACGATAGTCTTATGGTATCGAGGATATGGACATGGCGCACGTAACCGTACGTACATATATAGACATCTCTCAGAAAATAAGACTTTGATCAATTTGCTTTATTCAAAATGATTTCATACACGTATATATGTTGGCCTTAGTAATTAACTGCAGACATTACCAGTAAGCGTACACATTAAAAATGAGGAGCTGTCGGTAATCAAGGCGAACGAAGACGTGTACTTATATTATTACGCGTTCCCATACTTACTCTCAACAAGGACAGCGTAAATAAATACTAATGAACAGACATATATGTGACTGTATGATCTCTTGATATTAAGTGTTAGAATATAAAACCTCCCAAATTCTACAGCACACATACTTTTGTTTGTAGCAAAAATACAAAATAAAATCTTGTTTGTAGCAACTGATACAAAATACGCTCTTGTTCGTAGCAATTGATACAAAATACACTCTCGTTCGTAGCAACTGATACAAAATACACTCTCGTTCGTATCAACTGATACAAAATACACTCTCGTTCGTATCAAATGCTACAGGATACACTCTTCTTCGTAGAAACTGCTGAAAAATATACTCTCGTCCGTAGAAACTGCTGCAAAATACACTCTTCTTTGTAGCAACTGTTTCAAAGTACACTCTCGTTCGTATCAAATGCTACAGGATAAAATCTTCTTCGTTGCAACTGCTGCAAAATACACTCTTCTTTGTAGCAACTGTTTCAAAATACACTCTCGTTCGTAGCAACTGATACAAAATACACTCTCCTTCGTAGCAACTGTTGCAAAATACACTCTCGTTCGTATCAAATACTACAGGATACACTCTTCTTCGTAGAAACTGCTGAAAAATATACTCTCGTCCGTAGAAACTGCTGCAAAATACACTCTAGTTCGTATCAAATGCTACAGGATTCACTCTTCTTCGTAGCAACTGCTGCAGAATTCACTCTCCTTTGTAGCAACTGTTTCAAAATACACTCTCGTTCGGATCAAATGCTACAGGATACCCTCTCGTCCGTAGCAACTGCTGCAAAATACCCTCTCCTTTGTAGCAACTGTTTCAAAATACACTCTCGTTCGAATCAAATGCTACAGGATACACTCTCTTCCGTAGCAACTGCTGCAGAATTCACTCTCCTTTGTAGCAACTGTTTCAAAATACACTCTCGTTCGTCTCAAATGCTACAGGATACACTCTCGTCCGTAGCAACTGCTGCAAAATACACTCTCCTTTGTAGCAACTGTTTCAAAATACACTCTCGTTCGTATCAAATGCTATACAGGATACACTCTCCTTGTAGCAACTAATACAACACATACTCTCCATAATATCAACGAATTCAACATGCAATCCCTTTGTAGCGACCATAAAAAAACCACCAAAGTAAACCCACAATAAGCACTCTTGTAGCGGCCAATGCAATACACTCTCTCGCAGCGGCCAGAAAAACAACAGCTGTTTTTTTTTTTACCTAATAACCATGACAACGCAGTCTTTAACTGTGTGGCGACCAACACAGCACTAGAGCTGTTCGTTATATTGTACAGCATATATAGTCACCAAAGTTTGTAGATTGACATGCAATACTCAACTCAATATTGCATTAGGTTCGTGAGACAAACACCGTTTCAATGTAATCCCAATAGAAACCAATTAACACTCACTTCAAGATATTGTTAACAAAACAAACCCATTTGTATGTCTATAAATATACTCAAACAATTCATATTAAAATAATTACTGAATACACACACCTTTTTATCATTTCCTCAATTTGTTTAATATTACAATGTACATTTAATTTTTTTACCTTGTACATCATTATATTATAGAAATTTATGTTATGTATACATATTTATAATATAGAAATGTATGTTTCGTGTATATCATGTAAATAATGTAAACAAGAACATTTTCAGATCCGGGCTATGACAAGGAGACAAGTACACCAACATACCGTGTCTCCAGCACACATACACACATGCACGCATTCACAACATACACGGATGGACGTCCTTAAATGACCTAAACTGTTAATAGGACGTTAAACAAAATATCACCATTGACTTCATCATTTCATTACAATATTATTATGTATACATCATTACTTTTTGGAAAAGTCTGCAAGAAAGCGAGATTTCATGGAAATTATGTTCACGACAGTATCAAATAACAAATTAAGTGTTTTAATGATTTTTCATGATTTCGAGTTTTTTATTAGAAAAAATAAATTTAACTTTACGTAAGATGATAATAGTAATAGCATACATACACGTTTATGAGTATATACAAAAAATGCCCGCGTTATCCAAAAGAAAAACTAATAATTGTTTTGTTATATGACACATTAAATCCTTTTTCATTCTTAGTAATTTTTCAAAAAAGTCTCAATATCTATGGACTTTCTATGACTTAATAAATCCTTTTTATTTAAATATGATCTGTCGAAGGAAATCATCCGCTACACTTTTAAACATGAAATTTGATTTCTCTCGGCAAGCGGACGTCTGTGGATTGTTATCCGTTAGCGTTGACTATCCGATGATTTCTGATTGCTCAAATGTCACGGAAATGTTCATAACACTAACTTAAATCGAAAATTATATTGTTGACTTTCGTGCAGGTTTTTGGGAGAACAGGATGATATCGTATTTTGTTAAAAAATTATGATCAAAGAGTGATTTCAACCACTCGCAGCGAAGCAGGAACAAGTATTAAACATGTATAACAATGATTGGCTTATGACAATGGGTTATATGTAGGTCATTGACTGGTAGGTAGACGTACACTAGTATGTGAATCTTAGCTGATCTGTAAATCTTTAACTGGTATGTGAATCTTTAACTGGCATGTGGATATTTCAGATTTAACAGGTTGATGAATATGCAAATGTGAATCTGTAACTGGTATATTAATCTTTAACTTGTTTGTACATCTGTAACTGGTATGTGAATATTGAACTGTGAATATTAAACTGGTTTATTGATCTTTAACTTGCATGATACTGTTTAACTGGTATGTGAATATTTAACTGGTATGTAAAAATTTAACTGGCATGTGATTATTTAACTGTGAATATTTAACAGGTTGATGAATATGTAACTGTGAATTTGTAATTTGTATATTAATCGTTAACTTCTATGTACATCTGTAACTGTTATGTGAATATTGAACTGTTAATCTTTAACTGGTATATTGATCTTTAACTTGCACGATAATTTTCAACTTGTATGCGAATAATGAACTGGTATGTGAATATTTAACTATGTATATTTCACAAGTTGATTAATATTTAACTGTGAATCTTTAACTGATATACGAATATGTAGCTTGTAAGTGCATCTTCAACTGGTATGTGGATCTTTAATTGGTGTGCGAATCTTGATTGTGAGTCTTTGATTGGTATGAGATTCTCTGTATGTGAATCTTTAACCGGTTTGTGAACATAGACTGGTATGTTTGCTATTTTCTGGTATTTGAGGCCATTGATTACACAAAGCTGGATAACATAATATAACGTATGCAAGCTGTGTTTCTAAATTTGGTCAGTGCAAGGGAAAATTATATACTGACTCAGCAGTTTATTCGTTTTTTTTTTATACCAAATCTCTATCAGTTATTTTAAGCAGAATGCTTTTAACTTTGATTTGAAAATTTTACATTGATCTTTTGAGACGCGTCTAATGCCCAATTATAGTTTGATAGGCAGGAGACACCATGTCGAGTTCATTTCCGCTGCAACCGATATTTCCAGACCTTCATTAGATATTTCGAATACTTCGGAAGGAGAACTGTCACTCAGAGAGAGACTCATTTGCAACGCTATGTATCTTTACGTCGGCTTAATTCAACCTCTAAAGCTATTTTACGTTTCCTTAGATAAGCATGGGTATCAAACTAACGCACCGTATGTACTTTGTCTTCACGTTCTGTAATGTAGTTTAAAAATAGATCTTAGCTGATTAGCTGAGGATGATATCTATGTTTTGTAAGTTCAACCTATTTCTTATGTATTTCTGAGTATCCGAATAATTCGATAGTATATTTTGAAAAAAAAAAAAAAAAAGTTTTGGAGATATTTAGAAATATATATATTTACATTCGGTTTATCTATATGACAAAACAAAGGAAAAACTGCAAATATTTGTGTACTGGTTGGCATAGGAAGACATCGGCTCTAGCGATCAAAACATCCTTCTGAATACAAGTTGTGCAACATTTATAAAGCACCGTTATTGGTCACGTCAGAGACCAACAATACAAGATATATGTGTCTCTGATCACGAATGTTGAAGTACAAAAACAAAAATGTGGATGTACTATGCAGACAAAGATTCTATAAACAAACTGTCATCTATACATTCAATAGAATTCCTCCAAGACGTCATTCGGCTTGTGTTTGTCCTTGTATGATTGATGACGTAGGTATTCATGGCTTGCAGAACTTATTGTTATTAGAGAATTGCTGCGTTCTATCGATGTGATGAAGGCGACACGTCAATATTTTCTTCGTTCGTCATCTGTCTGCTTTAAACCAGTGAAATGTATCCTTTGTTGTCAGCATTTCTTACGCGAGAAACACCACAACATTTCAAGTTGATCCAAACAGGATAAAAAAGAAGCACAATCTTGTCGGTTTTCACGAGAAATGTTTTAAGTGAAGTTGTAATGAAGGCGATTGCACTGAGATGAATGACAATATCACTATGTATAAAACCAGACGATAAAAGCAATGGCATATGTGTTGTATGAAATTCATCCACTTGAACATTACGTGTTTCACACTGTTATTCAATACACATGTAACTTTATTATTGGCGACCAAATCCTTATCACGGTCTGTTTTGACGCAGATGGATTGAAGAATTGTCCTTAATCGATTATTACAATCGTTTGATATTAATCACTAGTTAATTCTTCACGTCAAGCACAGTCAAATATTTTGAAATGGTTTGGCATTTCTTTAAAGGTTTGCTCCTATCAAGATTGGGGTCATCATTTCATCTTGACGCCTTTACCTATAGCGAATATGTTTGAAGCAGGTACCAAGAAATACCTGTAAACACGATAGAAGCACACTTTCAAGGACATATAATTTCGGCTCGCTTTACTGGAATCCTGTTCAAGGCTCCAGCCATCGAGATCTTTGAAAGATCTAAACATGGACGCTTTCTTCACCAAGCATCTCGAAGTTGATCTAAGCTATCCAATCACACAGTGATTTACGAGAACTAATCCATATACGGTCACAATAATTCAAAATGGCGACCTGGAGACGTCCGTAGCTGTCGTCATGGTTATCGACCTGTTACCTCAAGGTTGTCCTGACAGAAATAAAAGAGTCGAAACAAAGAAACATTAGAATAATGTCTGATAATGACTTGAACAGCGATGCTTTATTGGAAACTCAAACCAATAATGCATGATAAAAACTTCAAACGGAACAAAGTCAACACCACACTAAAGTAGTGTTTAAGCAATAGACGCAATCTCAATGAGCGAAACATAGGGGACATGTGATATATTTATCTATGTTATTGGATTTTAGACATTTTATCCTTCTTACAGACCAATTCATTATAAACAATGCTAGGTGACGCCGTAGCAGGCCTTCATCCTCACTACTGTTATTGTCTTAACACGTTATCTTTTCTAAAGCATCGCAGTTTGGGACGGCATAATAAAATCATGCAAAACTTATCATTGCATTATATGAATAGAAAATTAACTCACTTTATTTGCAAACTAACCATGATATAAGAGTGTGTTTACTCACTTAAAATCTGGTGTTTGTCGTAAAAATGCCCACATTGCTTTAATGATCATTATTGCAACAATATAAAAGTTAAGCATTAACGTTCTTTTTGGACCGTTTCTCTAAATAACGTCGTTGCACTAAATAAAAATTCCCATAAAACTGCATCACACCATCCACTGCTTTATTGTACATGAGATACCTCATACACTTTGAACATGTGTCATTAAGAAGATTTCACACAACAATACTGGAAACGCTTAAATGTCTCATCATATTGCCGTAAACCCAATAAAGTCAGCGGCTGTGTTCGTCATCGTTCTTGAGACATGATATATATTTAAAATTCAATTTCCACCTCTGTCAATTTGGATTAAATTTACGAGGTAAACAATTACTGTTGGACTTGTGTGCAAGTCTTCAAATATATACCCCCTCCCTTTTTAGATTTAAAACAAATTCACTCTTATAATACTATTTACAATTTCAAGTTATCCCAAATTAAGCTTAATTTTGAAAAAATACAAAATCAATCTATTTTAATGTGTAAAACGAATTTTGAAATGAAGATTTCCCCCAATATTAATGTAAGCCGATTGTATCTGAGCCCAAGTGCTTGGGTTTTGTTGTACTGTAGGGACTTATGCAATTGTAAAATTTCATGTTAATTTCAATTTTAAGTTTGTTGCATGATACATTTACTTACTTAAGCTAGATAGACAGACTGACCCATATTTCTGAATCCTGCTTTTAGAAAAAAAGAGACTTTCATGAATTTGACCTTTTGTATGTCCAGAAGAATGCAGCTGGATAATTCTTTACAAAGACGTTAGGACTGGTAGCCAGTCTCGTAGATAGGACACCTTATCAAACGATGTATAATTAATATGATAAAGGTTATGTGCATCGAAAGACATTAAATATTGCATGCAATCTGCGGTATGAAAACCTGCACTAGAAATACAGACGAAGACGACTCCCCGGCATCTTAACCATTACAGACTCTCTTCGTCTGGTGCTCGACCTGATTTCAGTATTACCGATAATTCAGCTATGATTATTGTAACGCTTCCAAGTCCTGCTAGAGAAGAAAGCTTTCTCGATCTGTACCGATGTTCCCTGCACATACTCCTACATGTTACACAACGATCATATTACTGTGTTAGGCGTGGTGCCATAACACAATACAGAAAGCCCAGAGATTAANACCCAAATTTTTTTTTTTTTTTTTTTTTTTTTTCAATTATCTTGTGAATTCATTACTAATAAAAGATGAATTCAATTTAGCTGGCATCTGTTTAAGTACATGAAAAGCGATAATTTTATCCCGAAGAAAAGTGTCTCGATCAGATTTAACAGTGAGATACATATGAACTTAATATGTCATTGGAATCAATAAATGTTATATAGAAATTAAAATAATTTCTCTGTATCCATAGGGATTCCAGATTTATCACCTCAGAATCTTTTAGGGCGCTGCAAATGAATGCTTTGCACGTGACATATGGAAATAAAATGGCCGCCTGCGGAGAAGTTTAATCAAAGAACCTAAAACGCAATGTGTTGCCATTCCTTGAGGGGAATAGTTAGCAGAATTACGAGCACACCCGCTTAGAGATGTCTTTCTTGTCGACCAGTTAAAGAGAAATCGTTTTATGATGCGCTCCTCACATTTCCGTAACCATAACGGAAACAGATGGATTCACTGAGAAAGTCGCCAAATTGGAAATGGACGTTAAAAACTTGGGAAATAGGCGTTGATGCGTTTCAATCAAGAGCTTCTAGGCTGTAAATAGTAACACATCGTGGTAAGTGACATCAGGGACACATGGACTAGAATGCTTTTATCTTGGGATGAGCTGTATATGTCGGAATTGCTAGTGTAATATGTCACATCCTTATAAAGTAAGAAAACACATAAGGGCAATATATAAAGCAGTATCAGCACACAAGGACAACATATACGACAGCGTCATCACACAATGACAAAATACACGACAGCGTCAGCACACAATGACAATATATACGACAGCGTCATCACACAATGACAAAATATACGGCAGCGTCAACACACAATGACAAAATATACGACAGCGTCAACACACAATGAAAACATATATGACAGCGTCATCACACAATGAAAACATAAATGACAGCGTCATCACACAATGACAAACTATACGACAGCGTCAACCCACAATGACAAAATATACGACAGCGTCAACACACAATGACAAAATATACGACAGCGTACCAGGAAAAATACCATAGCGGCTACACACAAGGGCAAAATACACCAAAGTACAAACACACTAGGGCAGAATGGAAGCACGACGTCAAGAAATAAGGACAAAATACACTCCATCGTCAATACATAGGGACACATATATATCATAGCTTCAACACATAAGGCCGTACAAATACAGAACTAAAGCACAGCATCAAGAAATAAGGACACAATACACTCCATCGTCATTACATAGGGACACATATATATCATAGCTTCAACACATAAGGCCGTACAAATACAGAACTAAAGCACAGCATCAAGAAATAAGGACAAAATACAATCCATCGTCAATACATATGGACACATATATATCATAGCTTCAACACACAAGGGCGAAACACATCATAGTTTTACCGTACAGGTAAAGAACTAAAGCACAGCATCAGGAAATTAGGACAATATGTACTACAGCATGAATAGATAGGGACAAAATATACCACAGCGTCAACATACACGGACAAAATATACCACAAAGTCAACATACACGGACAAAATATATCACAGCATCAGGAAATAAGGACAATATGTACTACAGCGTGAATAGATAGGGACAAAATATACCACAAAGTCAACACACACGGACAAAATATACCACAGCATCAAGAAATAAGGACAATATGTACTACAGCGTGAAAAGATAGGGACAAAATCTACCACAAAGTCAACATACACGGACAAAATATACCACAGCATCAAGAAATAAGGACAATATATACTACAGCGTGAAATGATAGCGACAAAATATACCACAAAGTCAACATACACGGACAAAATATACCACAGCATCATGAAATAAGGACAATATATACTACAGCGTGAATAGATAGGGACAAAATATACAACAAAGTTAACATACACGGACAAAATATACCACAGCATCAAGAAATAAGGACAATATATACTACAGCGCGAATAGATAGGGACACACTATACCACAAAGGCAACATACACGGAAAAAATATACCACAGCATCAAGAAATAAGGACAATATGTACTACAGCGTGAAAAGATAGTGACAAAATCTACCACAAAGTCAACATACACGGACAAAATATACCACAGCATCAGGAAATAAGGACAATATATACTACAGCGTGAATAGATAGGGACACACTATACCACAAAGTCAACATACACGGACAAAATATACCACAGCATCATGAAATAAGGACAATATATACTACAGCGTGAATAGATAGGGACAAAATATACAACAAAGTTAACATACACGGACAAAATATACCACAGCATCAAGAAATAAGGACAATACATACTACAGCGTGAATAGATAGGGACAAAATATACCACAAAGTCAACATACACGGACAAAATATACCACAGCAGCAGGAAATAAGGACAATATATACTACAGCGTGAATAGAGAGGGACAAAATATACCACAAAGTCAACATACACGGACAAAATATACCACAGCATCAAGAAAAATAGAACAAAATTAAAACCCAGCGTCGAGAAACAAAGACAAATATGCTACATCGTCAACACACAAGGACACATAGAAATCATAGCGTCCACGCACAAGGATACAATAGCACATTGTCAGCCCACAAGTATTAGAGATGATGTAGCAGATAGTAACAAACGTATGACGTCGATGAAATGTATGCTTAAAGCTTAAGTCGTATAGCTGTGATCAATGTTTGATGGCTTTAAGCTGTCACTAAAATTGTGTGGCAGTAAGCGCTATTGTATGGCTGAGATTGGACCTGTTTGTAGTACTGTACATTTGTTAATAGTACTGTATACTTGTAGGCAGTACTATATAATTGTAGGCAGTACAGTATATTTGTAGGTAGTACTGTATATTTGTAGGTAGTACTGTATATTTGTTAATAGTACTGTATAATTGTAGGCAGTACTGTGTAATTGTAGGCAGTACTGTATATTTGTGAGTGATATTGTATATTTGTAGGTAGTACTGTATATTTGTGAGTGAGATTGTATATTTGTAGGTAGTACTGTATATTTGTGAGTGATATTGTATATTTGTAGGCAGTACTGTATAATTGTAGGCAGTACTGTAAATTTGTAGGTAGTACTGTATATTTGTTAATAGTACTGTATATTTATAGGCAGTACTGTATATTTGTGAGTGATATTGTATATTTGTAGGTAGTACTGTATATTTGTGAATGATATTGTATATTTGTAGGTAGTACTGTATATTTGTGAGTGATATTGTATATTTGTAGGTAGTACTGTATATTTGTGAGTGATATTGTATATTTGTAGGTAGTACTGTATATTTGTGAGTGATATTGTATATTTGTAGGTAGTACTGTATATTTGTGAGTGATATTGTATATTTGTAGGTAGTACTGTATATTTGTGAGTGATATTGTATATTTGTAGGTAGTACTGTATATTTGTGAGTGATATTGTATATTTGTAGGTAGTACTGTATATTTGTGAGTGATATTGTATATTTGTAGGTAGTACTGTATATTTGTGAGTGATATTGTATATTTGTAGGTAGTACTGTATATTTGTGAGTGATATTGTATATTTGTAGGTAGTACTGTATATTTGTGAGTGATATTGTATATTTGTAGGTAGTACTGTATATTTGTGAGTGATATTGTATATTTGTAGGCAGTACTGTATAATTGTAGGCAGTACTGTATATTTGTAGGTAGTACTGTATATTTGTTAATAGTACTGTATATTTATAGGTAGTACTGTATATTTGTAGGTAGTACTGTATATTTGTGAGTGATATTGTATATTTGTAGGTAGTACTGTATATTTGTGAGTGATATTGTATATTTGTAGGCAGTACTGTATAATTGTAGGCAGTACTGTAAATTTGTAGGTAGTACTGTATATTTGTTAATAGTACTGTATATTTATAGGCAGTACTGTATATTTGTGAGTGATATTGTATATTTGTAGGTAGTACTGTATATTTGTGAGTGATATTGTATATTTGTAGGTAGTACTGTATATTTGTTTATAGTACTGTGTAATTGTAGGCAGTTCTGTATAATTGTAGGCAGTACTGTATATTTGTTAATAGTACTGTATAGTTGTAAGCGGTACTGTATATTTGTGAGTGATATTGTATATTTGTAGGTAGTACTGTATATTTGTGAGTGATATTGTATATTTGTAGGTAGTACTGTATATTTGTGAGTGATATTGTATATTTGTAGGCAGTACTGTATAATTGTAGGTAGTACTGTATATTTGTAGGTAGTACTGTGTAATTGCAGGCAGTACAGTATAATTGTAGGCAGTACTATATATTTGTTAGTGATACTGTATATTTGTAAGTAGTACTGTATATTTGTTAATAGTACTGTAGTTGTTAGCAGTACTGTATATTTGTAGGTAGTACTGTATATTTGTAGGTAGTACTGTATATTTGTGAGTGATATTGTATATTTGTAGGTAGTACTGTATATTTGTAGATAGTACTGTATATTTGTAGGCAGTACTGTGTAATTGTAGGCAGTACTGTATAATTTTAAGCAGTACTATATATTTGTTAGTGATACTGTATATTTGTAGGAAGTACTGTATATTTGTTAATAGTACTGTATAGTTGTGAGTGATATTGTATATTTGTAGGTAGTACTGTATATTTGTGAGTGATATTGTATATTTGTAGGAAGTACTGTATAATTGTAGGTAGTACTGTATATTTGTAGGTAGTACTGTGTAATTGTAGGCAGTACAGTATAATTGTAGGCAGTACTATATATTTGTTAGTGATACTGTATATTTGTAAGTAGTACGGTATATTTGTTAATAGTACTGTAGTTGTAAGCAGTACTGTATATTTGTAGGTAGTACTGTATATTTGTGAGTGATATTGTATATTTGTAGGTAGTACTGTGTAATTGTAGGCAGTACTGTATAATTGTAGGCAGTACTGTATATTTGTTAATAGTACTGTATATTTGTAGGTAGTACTGTATATTTGTAGGTAGTACTGTTTATTTGTAGGTAGTACTGTATATTTGTAGGTAGTACTGTATATTTGTGAGTGATATTGCATATATGTAGGCAGTACTGTATAATTGTAGGCAGTACTGTATATTTGTAGGCAGTACTGTATAATTGTAGGCAGTACTGTGTATTTGTAGGCAGTACTGTATAGTTGTAAGCAGTACTGTATAGTTGTAAGTAGTACTGTATATTTGTAGGTAGTACTGTATATTTGTGAGTGATATTGTATAATTGTAGGCAATACTGTATAATTGTAGGCAGTACTGTATATTTGTAGGCAGTACTGTATAATTGTAGGCAGTACTGTATATTTGTAGGCAGTACTGTATATTTGTAGGCAGTACTGTATAATTGTAGACAGTACTGTATATTTGTAGGCAGTACTGTATAATTGTAGGCAGTACTGTATATTTGTAGGCAGTACTGTATAGTTGTTAATAGTACTGTATAGTTGTAAGCAGTACTGTTTATTTGTAGGTAGTACTGTATATTTATAGGTAGTACTGTATATTTGTGAGTGATATTGTATATTTGTAGGTAGTACTGTATATTTGTAGGCAGTACTGTATAGTTGTAAGCAGTACTGTTTATTTGTAGGCAGTACTGTATACTTGTAGGCAGTACTGTATAATTGTAGGCAGTACTGTATATTTGTTAATAGTACCGTTTAATTGGTGGCAGAACTATATATTTGTGAGTGATACTGTATATTTGTGAGTGATACTGTATAATTGTAGGTAGTACTGTATATTTGTTAATGTTACTGTATAATTGAAAGCAGTACTATATATTTGTTAGTGATACTGTATATTTGTAGGTAGTACTGTATATTTGTTAACAGTACTGTATAATTTTAAGCAGTACTATATATTTGTTAGTGATACTGTATATTTGTAGGTAGTACTGTATATTTGTTGATAGTACTGTATAATTGTAAGCAGTACTATATATTTGTTAGTGATACTGTATAATTGTTGTACTTCTATATATGTTAACTATATAGTGTGGTTATAACGCTGTGATTGGAAATGTTGCTTGAATCATATAACTTAAGGCATATTTGAATGGATATTTGTGAAATGAACCGACTCTGTGTGAATTTGCATGACCGTGGATGGAAATGTATAACGGTAGGCGAAATTGTATGTAGATTAAACTAAATAGTTTCGAGTGAAATTGTGTGGCTATCGGTTTATTGTTAACGGCTATCACTGGAACTGTTACTTAACTATATAGAGTAAGGGATGACTAGATGGGCAAAAAACGACTTTTGTGACAGCACAGAAAAAACAGGAAACAGAATTTACCTGTTGTACTCGTCCTCTGTGACGTCATCGCGGGTCCTACTTGAGGGTGGTGACGTCAGTCCACAGATCCGTGTCCAGGTTTCCCGTCACGCTCCAATACTTGGGAAAGGTGACTGAAAGGATAGTCCATCGCCTTTCAATGTTTGAACAAATCATTCACTGAAATAGAGCGGAAAATAAACACTTGCTAACAAATTTTGAAAATTATCCGCTCCTTCACATATTTATAAAAAAAGATCGCGTAAGAGCCCCTTTGAAATTTACATTTATTGGCGCATGCTATGTATGAGGCATTGAATTTTTATGGTAGACGAGGCAAGATGAAATACAGGTTAAGTAGACATGGCGTAATATTTTCCTGCTGCATCGCATACATATTTCATCGACATATATCAAAATGACAGATTTTCCGAAAAGCTATATCGTATGTACGAAGAACTTGCGTGGTCGGTGGAAGTCTCTGCTTTTGTGTAGCAATTTTGACGGTTTTCATTTGTATGAAACTTTATGTATTTGTTTTATCTAAATGTTGAAATTCTGAAACAAAAAAATACTAGTTTAGGAAACTATGCTGTGATTGCTATGATTTTTGTTCCTCTCTATCTTTCTGTTGATACGATTGAGTTGTGATGTTGTTTGTGTTTCAATATAGAGTATATTGATATAATAATTATTGTTTAACGTCTTTGTCGCGTCGATATTATCGATAAGTTAATTCTTTTTGTATTGCCATTGTTTGTGCTTGAAATGGTGTTGGTTGTGATTGTATTTGTTGCATTGCTGTCATGTTTCCTTCGCTCTCTATGTTTTAATTAAGACATCGAGACTGTTACTGTGATATGGTGATGGTTGATTGAACATCGTGACTGTTGTACTGATATCGTGTTTATCATTTTGATGTCGTGTTTGTTGCTTTGATATCGTTTTTGTTGCCTTGATATCGTTTTTGTTGCTTTGATATCGTGATTGCTATTTTGATATTTTGACTGTTACATGTATACTGACATCGTGTTTGTTGCTTTGATATCGTGATTGATATTTTGACTGTTGTACTGATATCGTGATTGTTGCTTTGATAGGGTGTCTGTTGTGATATCGTTTGTGTTCTGATATTATTATCGATATTTATTTTGATATGCTGTCCTTTTTATTAAATAGGTTTTATATTGATTCAATGACGAAACCGTGCTCTCCTTAAGACCTTGCTACGTGTTCTGACCACCCAGTATGTACTGTCTTATTAATTTCAAGAAAATCGATCTTTGTGTGTAATTCTATATCATTTCTATAAAAATAATATTTCGAGAAAAAAATTCACAGTTGAAAAGTGTGTACTTGGGTTTGAGAATAATTAAAGTGGTTGAACTAGGCAGACAAGAGGGGAACAAGCTAATAATGCAGTCTAGCAGGCGTCTGACAGTCGTTTACATGCATATTTGAATCAGTGGAACGAGCCATTGTGTTGGACCTGACTTCAAGCTTTCACATGTTGGTTTATCAATTTTCGAGATTGTGAACGAATATTTAATCGTCGATTGCAAACATTAAGTTAGACGGATATACTAGATATTGTGAAATATGCAGTCTTTTCGGAAGCTGTTCCTTCACATACCAGCATTCGTATTTGCCAAAAAGAAATTTACTTATAGATGTTAAAGGTTTTTGCCAATCAGAGAACATGACAGACATGTTGAATTCTAAAACATCATAGTTGGCCGCTTTGCAATATACATTACATATCTTAGCTTGTTTAATAGTATATATATAAGTATAATTATTTCCTGCTGAAATTGGACAAATATACCCATAGGTGTTTTTTCCCTTTGTAGTACACCTAAATCTTTTCTTCATGGAAGAACAGATGACCCGATAGAACTGGATTCTAACCGTAAAATGTCCCCACAAATTAGAGAAATAGTTACCATCTTTAATCCCCAGACTTTTTAGTTGATCTAAAGCTATGAAGCATTGCTATAAAGTATGAATAACATCATTTCAATAGTATTTACGTCAGAGACGGAAATATTTCCTCCAATCAAAAGTGAAAGTGGCAATATTGCACGTTGAATGTTCAAAATCAAGTATCAAGTTATCAAAATGACCTAAATGATACAAAAAAGTGAAAATCGGTTTTAAATTTCGTTTGCAATGTGAAAAAATAAAGAACAAAATAATAATGTGAAAGACGGTAAATGCAATATCTTTTTATTTGTTTTGGTCAGATAAGATAACCTAACAAGACTTGTCCTATGGTAGTGTTGTGTGTTGTGTGTTGTGCGCCTCTAGACTGTCTATTGGTGAAGTGCATCGTGTGTGCCCATTCCGTTTGTAAACCTAAAGACACCAGGAAATCACTACAGGACGAATCGTTCAATCATACAATGATTATTACTAAAAGTTAAAACAATATTAGAGAACTCACCTTGGTAATGCATATTTCTTTCCATAGAGCACCCTTTTGCCTGCAAAACACAAAGGGTAATGTCAATAAATAATGCAACACCTGTTTGGACATTCAAACCAATTTCAAAGTTTTTGTACTCGTTCCATTTTAGTATCTTAAGTATTTAAAGACAAACTGTTGTTTACAGTTAAGCTAAAGTCTCTCTTTAAAGAAAGGTAGCGTTCACATACCCTTATTATTTTTTTCCCTTCCTTTAGACCGGAATTGAAAAAAATAATCAAAACTATGTAATCGGAATAAAAACGGGTAAGATACAATTGTTCTTTTCAATTTTTACACCAATGATTTGATAATAATGCAGAAAACGGAGACTTCTACAGGAAATTTGCAAACCGCTGTCTAGCCCATATGATAATAATGAAAAAAATATAAAAGAGTCAATATTCAAAGATTAATTATACTCGAAAATATTAAAATGGCAAAAAAGAATCATTTTGAATAGTTCCAAATGTTGGTTGTCTTGCTCATGGAAATATAATTAATCAAAACAATTAACACCTTATTTCGTTTTGACAGTTACGACATCTAGAATCATTCAGATTGTGTCCTTTGTCTGTACCATACGTAGTACTAACGCTGAATTTGTATTTGATGTCTCCAGTTGATCAACTGTCTACCTCCTTACAAAGTATAACATTATAATGATGATTAGGCTTAAAATATCAAATACGCTTAGTCTTCCGAACTAATTCGGTGCACAATGTTGCTTATAAGTATACTAATGAATTACAAAACGCTTAAGATAACAGAAGCAAATGTTTCACTACGGACACCTAATTTGCTATATCGTCAGGACTTTGGGCAATCTCCGTCATGCTGATAAGTTTTAAACGATCAATTATTCAAACGGAAGGTAATTAACTGTAACTATTCTCTTACAATTAACAGGGTAATTAGAAAACTGATTTGAGGTGTATTTTTATAAGTCAGGATAAATGAAAAATGGTTCGAAATTTAGATTATTCTGCGACATTCTAACATAATTCCCTATTAAGGTAATGATGTTTTTAAACACAAATGAATGAATACAGAAATGTTTCGGAAGTAAGCCCTATTAAATTATTTGATGAACGTAAGGCTAGCGAGATTGGTGAAAATACAACATGTAATTACCAATCTGTAAGGCTATACACGGAAAAATACATTGATCGGTACATAACTAGACGCTCCCTGTCGCGAATCCCGACTGTACTCAGTGACACCCATGTCGTCACCGGGAAGCTGGCCGAACAAAGTAGGCGTCGCCAGTGAGTGCATTACCGTATTACGTCTTTCAGGTAATTAATGGGCTATCAGATGTCATAGCGAGGCTACAACAACGCTCTTAGCGTAATTTGACCAATATTGACCAAGACTTTGGAAGCATCTTAATGCCGCATGAGTCAATATGCCAATCAATGGTGTACGATATACGTAAACATCATAGCAAGGAGTTTACCCGATGAGAAAAACTGCAGTTATTTCCCTTTGGTATGTTGATGATCATTGTGAATAGGCCCGATGGCTGACCACTGCAGGTTCGATGTTAACAGTTGCCTCATTGAATTATTGCGTAAGCGACTATTAACCCCCCTCTCTGTGACATAGGTGTTTTTATCATCCATTCGCTTCCCTAGGGGGCATTAATCTGATAAGCTATTATTATTGCATTACTTAAAATTCTGTCTTTATTGATATCTCTTCTATTGATCTGTCTGGACACCTTTATCATCAAGTGACCTATATGTGTTGTGTGTGTCTTGACATCCTCCGTCACGTGACCTATGAGTGTGATGTCTGTCTTGACACCTACCGTCATATGATATCTATATATGGTGCCAGTCTTGACATCCACTCGACCTATAATTCATATATCCGCCTATACTTATGATATTCCGGTGTGATAGATGATTTGTTGGAATTAGTCGTCAAAACTACTGTTCAGAAAATGAACTACTTTTGAGTGACAGTGTCTGTTGCTCTGAGGAGGTATTTTAAAAGCTCACGTTGTCAAACACGTTTTTAAAGTTAAGAAGTATTCTAGTTTTCTATCAGATGTTAATTCTCACATGTCGAATTATGAACATTTTCCTACTCCTACTTTTACACGTCCTTCAAATCAATTGTTTATAAATTATTTCGTGCTTTAGGACGCTGATTACCACGGAAATGTATCTCTGTATTGCTATCTTCAATTATGTAATCGATTATCAGATTCATAACTGTATTACTTAAAAAACATAATATGAGGCCAATTGTATCTTTTTCCTATCGTCCGTTCGTTTCCTGGTAATTCCTACTATGCTCCATTTGTTCAACAGTCGTTAAACCTTACCCAGTGGTAAGTGAAATACTCTAATTGTTACCAAAATGAATCGAAGGCTTTAAAAGCAAAATAAAATATCAAAACACGTCAATCCAATCTGCTTCAACAAATTTATAGCAATTAGATGATATTAGTTGTTCTTGGTCGTCCTGAATTCATAGTTCAAAACATTTCCATAATCTCTAGCTTACTCTTACCAAGCTCTGAGCAACCGGGGCCTGTTGTACTGTGAACTTAATGTAAAGAGCTCATACATCGTAAAGAGAAGTTAATTAGTTGGCGTTAGTTAAAGGAGTGATCAACTACCGATGTCACACTTGTAATTGCAATTCTACAGTACGCCGTGAGAAATTCGGTTCCGACAATGGATAACTCAGCCGTGAAAAAGGTCTTTAAACTGATGTCCAGAGTTTACGTCATTATCCGTCTTATAGTGATACGTTTTTTTAAACAGAGCGAGTCTAGCGCCCACTATAATCGCCAACCTGTGACACATCTACCCTATGTGACACTCGTTACCATGGAAATTAATCTCTGTGTCGCTATCTTACACCAACTACTAATAAAATGTGAAAATTAACAAACAGAAGAATACGACATTCCACTCTGCCATATGCTCTCCTAAGTTCCACTTAGTCGTTTGGTCTAGAGCGGTTGATATACACACAGAGCTCTATTTCTTACAACTATCACATCCAATAGACCAGATAACATGACTTGAGAAGCGCTGTTCTAATATCGTCACCTCCCGTGCTGGGTATAGGCACGGTGGGGTCCGTTGGGAGGATCACATTGAGAAGACGATCTTGTAAATGTCCACCTGCGCGCTCTTAATACCTTACAGCTACGTCAGAAACTCTGCAATGCGATTAATTACAGTAAACAACACCATTCCTTTCGGTCTAGAAAATCCTTGGAAGCTTAAGGGGGAAATAGACAATATTATGAGTGCATTTTAGTTTCATCGGTGTGTTTTTATCCGAACATTCTCTTTAGTTGTCGAAAGGTCATTCCATCAAATGCATACTGTCTATTGACTTGAATTTCGTAGTAGATGGCGGTTTTATAGTTCCTGCAAACATTCGTGTAAGATTTATGTAGGATGGAATTAAATTACTGCCTAGTATTTATATCTCAGGTGACATTATATGGTATGATATAATTCCATTTATCTTTTACTCAAAGTGATGAATGCCAACCTATTATGTTTTAAGAGAATGTGTGCTTCTTGAAGCGGAGAAAGAGACATATTTGCAAAGTATGCATCAACTACAAATCAAGTTGCAGATTAATTCATCAGCTTTATGTGTTATTTGTGTTCACATTTCAATATGTCAACACCATCACAAGAAAGAATAATATTAGTGAAAGTTGTTTGTTATATAATCCTAGCTTGTTATTGTATCAACAAAACCATTGCCATGTTCAAATTCGGTAACAATTACAACTGGACCCAGACGTCAGCAAAGGCGTGTAATTTTACTGTCTGGAAGACCAAATCACTTACAAAATTTATATTTGTTCTTATGGACCTCCTGTTGACAGGCATAGTTGGCCGGAAGTTGTCTCGAAAGAATGCCATCGGATTTTCAGGACCACTCTGACGCAGCTTCCGGAAAGCTTCAATCTACAATATATATAAATAAGTTATATAATTGTTAATAGAATAAACTCTGTAAAGAAAAGTACATAACAGTTTTTTTGGGCAAAGCTCGACATCATATACAGAACTCGTGTAAATATCTATTATCTGTACGAAATAATCATAAAGGGTTCATATATTGAATCTATTTCATATTGAATCATAATAAATTGATTACTGGACCCGACTGTAAAAACCATTCCACGATTTCAATAGAAACCTATTATATGTAAAGTGTATAACCAGCCAACTTAGATTATTACTTATCGCTTCATCAAGGAATGGGAAATAAAACAGTCCAAAACTTTTTTTTTCAATGAATAACAAGAACCATACAAAAGCCTTCACTTTGTGTATACAATTGTTAAATTATAACGATATACATTTCGGTATTTGTTACTGTAGAGAAGCTGCAGAGGCGTAAGAATTGTAGGTTGCTTCTCTATTTCATTTGTAGCATAAATCCGCTAGGAGTCGACGAGAGCAAATTGACCAATTCCACAGCATAATTTGATAGACCTGACATTTCCGGCGTTCGAAATTGAATCTATAATAATGTCATAAGATCATCGGTTTCACGGAATCGCCCATTTATGGAGTTTTATTGTAGCAACTTTGAGTACCCTTCACTCAAAAAGGTCTCATCGGAGAACCATCAGAATAACATTGGAGTACCAATTGCGATATCATTCATGTTGTATGAAAAAGGGTTATTAATCAGACGCAAAACTACTACAATACAAAACAATAGTATGTGTTCTTTTTGAACGCCGTGTCATAATAACAGAGTTTTTTTCGTTGAAAAATGACTAAATACGTTTTACAACTTACTCTCACCTAGTTTGTAACGTATTATAATAAGTTAGTAATAAAAATAACAACATATATACACATAACTAGCTTTACCAAGTTATATATTATATACAACTTAACAGCTTTGTTGGTATATAAATGTGTTTACCTTTTGTCATATAATGTTATTATTTAAGTGTTATTTTAGCTGTTGTGGCATTGTATTGTTTTGCATGTTGAAACAAACGTTTCGTTATATAGTGTTGTTGTACCTGTTGTTATATAGTGTTGTTTTACCTGTTGTTATATATTGTTGTTTTACCTGTTGTTATATACTGTTGTTTATAGTGTTGTTATACCTTTTGTTATATAGTGTTGTTATACCTGTTGTTATAAAGTGTTGTTTTACCTGTTGTTATATAGTGTTGTTTTACCTGTTGTTATATAGTGCTGTTTTACCTGTCGTAATAAAGCGCTGTTTATCTCCTACACATTTTTGTTGTATGAAGTATATTTTGTACTTATTCATCATTTATATGTTGCAATGTGTTTCTATTAACTATTTGCAATATATGTCTGATCTAACTTTTGATATGCTGTTTGTTATTCCTGTTGTTATATAGTATTTTTTAACATCTGTTGTATTATAGCGTTATTTTACTTTTTTCTATGAAGCGACGATAATTTTCTTGTAATAAAGTGTTGCTTATCAACCTGTTGTACATGTATATAGTGCTGGTTTACCTGTTGTTATATAATGCTATTGTACCTGCTGTGATCCTGCGTATATAGGCTTGTTCATAATCATCCACGTGACCGTTTCGTGACATCCTGGATGTGTTATAGAACCATCATATGTGACGTAATGAAGACTTCTTGGTATCAACTTTTGTATATACAAATTTTTTAAAGGCGTTACCGTTTCTGAAATCGAAAAGACACAACTGTTAGCATTATGTACATAAAAAGTTTATTTTCATTATTTCAGAAAGAAATTGAGTTGTTTTATAGAGAGAAATAAAATGAGAGCTACATTAACTAGATATTGGTGCAGATTGAATAGCTTTTGTCACAAGCTGGTTATTATAAGTGACACACGAGGTCTGTCGGTAGAAGAGTACACCGAACCCTTATTTATGGTATTATCCCATTAAAACGCCAAGTTACAGACCATATCCTAAACAATTCACATATTCTACGACAGGATCAGGTTTGCCGTATCCAAAAGCGTATCGTGAGAGTGTTTGACGCAACTTAGTGACTATTTAGCACCGTTCTAAATATAAAACATGTTTTATATCTGGTGCTTAATCACTTCATAATCTAGAGATATTATGTCAAGAGATGGTGGAATCTGCTGGTGGCCGACGTGTACAGACGGGCAATGAACTGGTTGCTTCATTTGGTTTTGCCACGTTTTATATGAAAAATTTAGTTAATGATGAATACGCTTTTTTTGCTAAATTGTAAAGAGTTCTATAAGATCTTTTTCGTTTCGTTTTATTTATACATAGGTTTTGGGGTCATTTTTGATATGAGTTTTTTTCTTCTTTTGACTTTACAACACTGATGCGACCTAAATGAACGAAATGGCTATATCTTGTACTTAAGTATATTTTTTTTCTTTCTTCAACGAGCTTTGTTTTCTTTTGACTTTACAACACTGATGCGACCTGAATGAACGAAATGTATAAACCTTGTACTTAAGTATTTTTTTTTGTCTTTCTGCAACAAGTTTTTTTTTTTAATAGGTTTTTCAATTCTTTGTATGTTATTGTTAGTGTGTATTGTTAACAATAGCCACATTACCGCATGTAGAATTAACAGTTTGTTTTTTGTTATTAGGAATTACGTGTCAGTCAGCACAGTTTTTTAAACTGATACAAAAAAACAGTTACTATATTTCTGAATTTTTACTATGGATATTGAACACTGATATTTAAAACTAACATACAGGTGAACTGTTACATAAGGGAACTATTACATTTCGGTTAAGATGTCTTCAAAAATTAAAACTTAATGAATCTTATAAAAGAATGCCATTGTTTAAAAATAAAATCGTGATCTTGAGTTAAAATAGGGAAGCATTATTGACGCTGTGAACTTTTGGTTATAATATTAATTAAACGTTAGATCCTGTAATATACCTTACCACCAAACAGTTAAATAGGTAACCACTGTGTAATAACGGTGGCCGGATAAGAACATGGAAAAAGAACTACCCTTTACAACATAAGTAAATGAGGGCTACACAAGTTAATTAAATGAGAGGCGCCACCAAAAACGTGAAATAAGGTAACTCTTCCACAATACAAACAGAATCAGACTCATTGGACACGTTTTAACAGTTTAACGTCCATCCTCCAAGAAATTTACATCAGAGACACATATATCAATATTGGAACTCGATCTTGTTTGAGATAGTCTATGTTTGAGATTAGTGTAATAACAACACAATACCGGAAACGTTTTCCAGCGCAGTATCAGTATAAAGGATGATACACAGTGTATACATTGTAGGTAGACGGTCTATTCATTACTCAACAGGGGTTTTGTGTCATTTGGTTGCGAATACTTGATTTAATTACACTGAAACTTAAACTTAAAGCTGATTATAAACTAACTGCGAATAAGTTCTCCCCAAAATTGGTATTTCCAACTTTAAGACAATGACTGGTAAACAGAAGTCGACCATTCCGCCATATTGATGTTTACAGTGATCACTACAAATACTGTCACTCCCCCCCCCCGCCCTCCCCCCCACACTTATTTAGAAAAATAAAGTATATGTAGAAACTAACAATGCAAAGTCAATACAGTCGCCATAACCCTATATAAAATGCCTCGGTCATATATGTTTTCACTAGTTATACAGAATTGTCTGTTAACATGTGAATATGGCTCACACTTATAAAATACACAGGGTATACACTCATTATAGTAAAAATATATCGGTAGAGTACAGGAGGAATCAACATTCGGTGGCTTATTATACCTGTTACTGACAAGATTATTTAGGAGTGCATCCGACGTAAGTGTTTTCTTTCCTTTGATCTAATTTCAGTGTATTTTTTACACTTTTTTATTTTAATGTGTTTGCCTTAAATACAAAATGTAAAAAACAATAAGTAATAAACGTGCATACACATTATGTTGATCGCAAATTATTGATCAATTATAGACTTTTCAGATTAATTTGCGGTTATAGTGACCTGAGGAAGGAATATCACGTTTTCATGTCCTTATAACCACATAATCACCGTTATACAAGTTTGTTATTTAAGATACTAAGTAATGCTTGAAACATTAAGCTAGATGGAACGTATGACAATTGTCACAAGGAAAGCATTTAGCTGGGAGCATTGTGACATTACTACTGAAATAACATCATAGAGTGAAATTAATCTGCTCTTCTTAAAAATAGTTATACCGAGAAGGTATCGCAAATCACCGCCCTCTACGTGATTAGAATCCAAACAAAGGTGATGTGGGGAAAATGGGCATGGACAAAATGTCCATACCCTAACGCTTTTCTGTCATCGGACCCATTCCATCTAGTTAACAAGCCGACCAAGACACTTGAAAGTGATGTACGAATGAGTAATGATTTAGTATATGTGTCTAGCATCTACATTATACCTCCGAATCATTTCCAGAACAGGCATTATTCAGTAGAATATGATCTCCCTTAGCAGAAATCGAGTTGAGAAGCTGTCTTTGGTTACTATTTAATACAGTTGAGGAAGAGTTGTTCGACATCTTCAACAAAAGAACCCTACATACTGACAAGGTTATCAATTTGGTTTGAATAAGAAAGAAAATATCTAAATTTAAATTACTGGCATGATTTCTTAATTGACATAGACTGATGTTTACGTTTTTTTCACCTTGATATCCAAAATAATTAGAACAAATGGGGTTGAGCATTCAACCACTATTTCACCTCTACAAAGGTGTGATGTACTCTCTCTTTCGAGTACGAGTAACTAGCCGTGCTGCACTGTTCTGGATCCTCTGCAGACGACTAGTTAGTTTGTCAGATATACCACAGAGCAGGGCGTTATTAACAGGTTTTGGTTTTTTTCAGATCCGTATGCGTTTCCAGTGTGTTTGTGTCTATGAAGTGTTAAGTTGCAATTATTTCGGTGTTGGGTACTTTTTAATATAATTTGATGAACATCTTCTGCCGAATGAGAGCCTTGGAAGCGAAATTGATGCAATAAAATGTCTGTGCTGTCGCCATTTAAAAACCATTTTGAAAGAGATAAACAGGATAATTAAAGATGTTTAAAACAAAAACACACAACAAGGGAAAACCGTTTGTAAGAAAACAATGTTCACTTAACAAAGTTATCGTCATGATAATGTTGAAGAGAATTTTGATACCAGGATTAAAAAATCGGTTTTAAAATGTTTGACATTTAAAAAATAAAACAGTTACACGAGACAATTTTCAGTACATTGACTCTCATTTTAGTAGTATAACGGATATAAAGCTGTTATTTTATTTGATTACAAACCCAATGAGCGATCGTTGAATCACAGGCTCCGTATTCATATTTTATAATGAATATATAGAATGCATGACTAAAATCAGACGTGTCTTGATAGTTACCATGTCTATCCATTAAGTATGTCGCCTATAATTACAAGCTTGTGCAGGATACGGATTTCAGTGCAACAAAGCCCCCGGATGTGAAATTATTAATCATTCAAGCCATTATCAACTTATTAACATGTTTAAGCTTGCGAAATCTATGTTTTTAAATATCAGAAAACCAAGAAGAGCATGCAAACTTTCAATTGAAATTTTCATTGCGATAACATACAACTTTCTGAATATAATCAATCTTTGTATTGGCGCCTGAACATTTACCGTCACCATGGCAACATATTGAAATAAATAAACATGTTTGTTCAATGATATACAAAAGAGATTGTTTTGGGAAAAGTGACGCCTTCTTCTAACTGTCTGTTGATGTTGAATTTACTTGAATTTACTTATAATTCATTCGTGTATAAAGCACAAGCCATAGTTGCATTGCAAAAAAAGAAAACCTCATTTTTTTTTTTTTTAATTATAAAACACATATTTTACCAGCATCAGTTCACAAAATATAGTCCTAATGCAACCGGCGGTAATAACATCACTTCAAAACTTAAGCAGAAGTATACCAACATTAAAATTGTTACTTTTTGACCGATGAGTCGAAAGGCTCAATAGTATAAAGAACTTGAACTTGAAACAAAATAATGATATCACTACACAAATAAAATCCCAATCATACCAACATAACGAAATCACTACAAAAATTAAGTCGAAGTCCTATCAACATAACGATATAAGCATTTTACCAGAACACAAAATATCATAACATCATACCAATACGAGTACAACAAATATAGTCTTATTCATACTAACGTAACAATAACAATATTACACATATGTGATAACTGCAATAATCTTGATACGTGTATACAGAATGATTCCTGCCCCACGGCCGAAAACTGTAACGACGCATTGGAAATTGTGTTTCCCGTATGACTATAGCTTTGCTTCATCATTTCAGACAAAACATCCTTTTGGGATTTTTATGAAAAAATAATAAAAGTGAAATAAACAAAACGTACCCAACAATAGGGACTAACCCTTACCCTAACCCTAACCCAATATTCAAGGTGAACCTGAAAGTGTTAATTTAGTGTCGTTTTAACGAACGGAGCTACCTGGTCAAGTGAGTCAACGTTAGAAACCCTTCCTCAATTCCGCTAAAACTAGTTCTAACCAATACGGAATTTAGGCGATGTTACTGCATTTATGAAAAATCACAGTGGAATTATCTAGTGGTTTGGCTGCAGTGCTAAATGGTCATAATAGTTCATTTCAACAACAACACGTATATTAAAAGCAATGATATATCCTCTTTACATGTATATGGACCAGCGTATATCGCCTCCTTAAATGCCTTTGTGATGACTAGAGAGTTCAGTGAAATCAACAATAAGATCGATGGCTTACCTTTAAACCGCACGTCTTCTATATTTTCAATTATTTTTTCTAATTCTTGATGACTTAAATTTCCTTTCGTCTGAAAAAGAAACAGAAGATGTTCCAGATGATAAAATCGATAAGTAAAAGCTAAATTTATAGGATATTGTAAATAATTATGATGTATAGAATACTGAAAAATCCTTTAACAAATGTGTTGTAAATGATATGCTTAATAGTTTAACTGCATATACGTTATAATATAGAACAATTGTTGAACTGTAGTAGGAAAACTGGGTGACCTTATATGGTTCGGCACACTAGTAACACTGTGTATAATATGGTATATTGTATAATAGTACCATTGTGTATACTATGGTATATTGTATAATAGTTACACTGTGTATAATATTGTATATTGTATAATAGTTACACTGTGTATAATATGATATATTGTATAACAGTTACACGGTGTATAATATGGTATATTGTATAATAGTTACACGGTGTATAATATGGTATATTGTATAATAGTTACAATGTATGCATATTTTGGTATATTCTACGATATTACATTGTATACCAGATGGTATATTGTACAATAGTTACACTGTATATAATGTGGTATTATTGAACAAAAGTTGCAATGTATAATTATGCTTCATTGTACAATAGTAACATTGTATATAATATGGTATATTGTATAAAAGTTACACTGCATATAATAGGGGACAGTACATGAGTATTGTGCAATATTTGCACTGTAAATAATACGGTATATTGGGCAATATTTACCATGTACTTTTATATTATATGGTATGTTGTACAATATTTACGCTGTATATAACATGGAGTATTGTACAATAGTTACGCTGTATATAACATGGAGTATTGTACAATAGTTACACTGTATATACAAATGGTGTATTGTATAATATTACGCTGTATATAATATGTTATATTGTACAATAGTTATACTGTATATAATATGTTATATTGTACAATAGTTATACTGTATATAATATGCTATATTGTACAATTGTTATACTGTATATAATATGTTATATAGTACAATAGTTATACTGTATATAATATGCTATATTGTACAATAGTTGTACAATAAGAACACATTAAACAAGAAATCCTTTGATCCCCCATCTTGTAAGATCACGGTATAACATGCTTGCACGAAATGAAATGCCTTGTAGAATTATTGTCATCAAAATGTATCATGGAGGATATTAAATTAACTGGTTGGCACTGCTTATTCCACAAACTATTCTGTGGTGTCGAAACTGTGACATTGAACCGAGAATGTTATTTTTCAATATTTAATTTCTTTCCGATATCAAAACCAATATGAAGTAATTCCAGAAAACCTTCATAAGAACACATTGTAGACAAACTAAAAGTGTCTGAATACTGTCTTGACGTTAAAATTTTCATACGGAGGACTGAGGTCCTACAAAAGCTTAGGTCTCGCATCTACTGTCAGCTCGATGCTCCAATAAATTTGTCAAAGACATAATGCAGTACGAAACTTTAAGTAAAAAAATTGACAATACTCTAAACACAAGATGATGCCACTCTTACTGCGGGCTACGTACGGCAAAATAGCTTCTCTTAGACTTAGAACCAAGTAAAACTAAATGATTCGCTTAATTGGGCGCTTAAAAGTCAGCTTGGCATACCAATAACAGTATTAGGGTTTTCCCGTATTAACTATAACATTGATGATGTATTTTTACAGATGGAATGTTGTGTTATGTAAATGTGACTAGCTTGTTAATAGAGTGTGATGTATGAACGGTAGGAACACTGTATGTCATGTGATCTATGAACGGTAGGTACATTGTATGTCATGTGATGCATGAACGGTAGGTACATTGTATGTCATGTGATGTATGAACGGTAGGTACATTGTGTGACATGTGATGTATAAACGGTAAGTACATTGTGTGTCATGTGATGTATGAACGGTAGGTGCAGTGTGTGTCATGTGATGTATCTGTGATTGGCTAGTCCGTGGTCAGTGACGTGAGGTATATTTAATGCATCAGTGACAGGCAAGCCAAAAGTCATTTGTGTGTGATAAGTTATGTGTGATTGGAAAGTCTTCCCTGATCAGTGAAGTGTAAAATGTCGACGTTTTTATCGCGAACTAACGTTTACAAACTATCACAATGGACAATGTAAACAGTGCCAATAAAAATCAAAGCAAAGGTAAATTAGTATTTCAAACCTACATTGTGCATTTCGCATAGGCAGGAATAGTTACACAGACAGAATTCTGATTGAATAGTTATCACTTTAAGGAACAAGAACCCATCAAATATTTAAGATGAAGGACGCTTGTTATCCCAATAAAGTGATCATGCTAATTCCTGACATAATGCCATCAATACCTTTTATATGACTCACCTGTACAAATACAGCAATGGCGGCTATACCCCGTGGGGACACCACGGCTTGTGAAAAGTTGTGATATAAATCTGTATTATAGGCAAGGAATTGTATCTGTAAATAGAATCAAGAAATGAATTGATCCCTAATCAAATAAGTCCGAAGGAAAAGAACTGATTAAGCCAAGTGGCATAGTTTAAAAGAAAAAGATCGAGATGCTTATTTTTAGCTTTTATTACACTATTGCGTTAATATTAATAATTCAAGAATTAGAAAATAGAGCATGAAAAAAGGAAATTGGGTCTTCTTAATTTCATGAAATACCAAGGAAAAACTGAATGAATGAATAAACGAATGGAGAAAACGGGAGCCCACCGACATTGGTGCAGCCGATTTTGTACAACATGCCTGATAACATTATTATTGAAAAAATATACAATAAACCTCTAGGCATACAAGTGATTCGGTAACAATCCGGGCATACCTCTGCTGCGAATGGTTTCCCGTCAATGGTGTGTTCTGACCCCCGTGAGTCGTCCTTGCCGAAGTGTACCCGGATCTGGTGAAGACGATAGGTATAGGAGAGAGGACCGATAGAGAACAGGACATCATCGCCCTGACTCGAATTGACGTACAGTACCAATGCGTTACCCAGATTGTTCATTGTCGACGACACCTGTTTGTAACGAAATTCGAGGCATCTATTAAAAATAATTAATTTGATGCATGAAGCCAAACAAAGCAAGCAGTTACTGCATTATATTGTCATTTCGTCAATTTTGAATTCATCAGAGGTAATGAATGTCAACAATTTCTGAAAAGTCATGTTTGAAAATGTTTCGAAACTTAGGTAGAAATACTGCAAAAGTATTTGTTGAACCTTTGATACCGTTATAGCTACGAGACGGCAAACCTGGAACTCGAACCACTTACAAAATGACAGCTTATAAGGGCAAACATGGAAATTTTAAAATATTAAAAATCAGCTCAGAAGTGTGAATACGGGTTTCAAAAACACTTTAAAATTATCCACTCACGAGGGTGAACATTAGACTCTTAAACGCTTCCACAGTGTCAGTTCAATAGGGAAATCATGAAAGTAAGTAACGTCCCGTAGCGTCAGCTTGCGAGGACTTATATGACGTAAAAAACCATACAAGAGCTCACGCGGGGACACATTAGAATCAGAAATAGGTACGAGAGAATAAACGCGAAGGCACTTAAACCACAGACGTTGGAAACATTATAAGCAAAGAGCAGTAAGTCAGGCGTCAATATGTCAACTATGTGTACTCGGTGAGGACCTAAGTGGGTCGCCAGTGATAGCTCGTGATAAACACGTGGTTTCTACAAAAATCCCAATTAAAGTCAGAAAGGAATCCCTCCTGTATTATTCTCCAGGTCGGCCATATTTGAATTGGATGTTGTAATATGAACGCAGTCATTGAATCAGTTTATATTATGATCAGTCACATAATTTCCCCTGATTTTTCTTCTTATATAAATGCTTAAATATTTTGGATTTAATACGCAGATAATTCTGTTAAACTAAGTCATGAATGTCATATGTACTTCACAGATATGTACTTATCGCTATATGTACATACTCTATATATTTGTCCATCATTTCCTATTGTTTCAAGACTCACGAGGGAAACATACAATCTGATGTTACTACTTTTTTATTCTTCTCTTACCAAGACAACGTGTGTTTAATGTTATTTTATTGGACCGTCGTTTGTGTACCTATACTGTAAACGACGTACGCGAGTCTCCCTCGGCTCGTTGTCATATCTACCATAAAACCCTATTAAGTTTGACACAATGACACATTAAACTCGATAAAGTTCGATTTATATGGTTTAATTCCCTTAAACAAGCAGTCAAATCACCATAACATTACGCTATAAAATGCTTAACGTCATTGTTATACGGCGTATATTGTGACATTGCAACAATATACCGGGTGACATAAACTATTTTCACGCCAGTATATAAGTCCATTATATCATCTCTCGTGGAAGTTATACATCCGGTATCAGTTCACTAGTCTTATTGAATTGTTTCAAGAAAAAATCTTAAGTATGACAACAATTGACTGAAATTTCTCTCTCGAAAAGCATTGCTAAAGTATGTAAAATCTGAAAAGCATGAACTAAAGACATAAAATGTTTGTGAAACTCGAACAGGAAAGTAATTTGTGAACAACAGCGTGACTTTCGTACTAAATTCTTCATGAATTATCTATTGACGTTATAGGCATTTAGTTCTTGAAATCTGTACCTGGGTTATAACCTTATACAAAACAAGCCTCATAACAACCAAGATTAAAAAGCTAAATATCACAGTCCAACATCGCTTGTAACTCATAGGAATATTGTTTCTTATCTAATCAGAAGGTATTGTTTGTTGGAACCCGATCTTTACTTCAGAGACATTATAATCCAGTGTGAATACCATATAATAAAGTAAGTATCAATATTTATTCAGGTCTATACAATGTAGATACCGTGACTTATTAACCGTTTGAAAATTATCATTTCCCTGACCATTGATAAATACCAATATACCGAGTTTGATGGAGGTTAAAAGGTGTGTGTAATAAGTAGATTACCTGTCAATAAACATCAGTCAATCCCTATATCGGTGAGTAATAAACTGGTGTGTTGTTTATTAAATTGGACGTTACAGGAGATATCGCGGACTCCGTCTATTGGCGACTACATTGAAGGGACTGGTCCGGTATATTGCTGAGATATAGGCGTGGGCATGTGTAACGAAATTGATGCAAATTACTAAAAGATGTAGAAAGTACATAAAACAAGATCTAACTGAAATTTGGACCGTCAGCTTCGTGTAAATCGTCCATCAATATCGCAAATGATGACGTAGTAAGATACCTCTATACAACAATACACCTAAATACCAAAACATAACATCGAAATCGATAATATGTAAAAATATTGACTTATCAGAAGCCAGTTTTGAGTGGTTTTCTTATTCATTAATTAAATGGAAGTTGCTATAGAGTTTGCAGTTAAATAAACCACCCACGTACATTTGATTGAAATCAGACAATATCTGAGATTAGACCAATGAAAGGCTAACTCATGGGGGCTTCTAGCGTCATGTGTAAATGCAATTTGAAGTACAGATTGCCGTGCTATTAAACACCTAAATACAAAATCAGTTTTCTGAACTTTTACCGACCAGATGCGTGTCCAAAGCGTCAATTATTTTCAACGAGTAAACGGAGGTCGCATTACTGTGTGCCGTGTCATTATACTCCAACATATTCTCTCTATTTCTTGTCATTGCGACATTAACAATTTTTTTTTTATTTTTTTTTGACAGCATTTAATTGTAGTTTTTATTTCAGCATCAGATTCCATTTGATAACTGAGTTTTCATGTTTATGTCATGTTGAGAAAATGAGCGAAACCGGAGGTTGGGTAGATTGCAAATCTTAGAAACCATTTTATTTGACAATGCTGTTAAAGAAATATAGATTTTTACGCTGGTTTTTTCGGGTTTTGTTGTAAAGATACTTTTCTCATCGCGAGCACCGCAGGTGGACTCGAGATTATATCCACGTGCTCGCGATGAGAAAATTGTTCGAATGACGAACCCTGACAATGTTTTTTGACATGCTGTTTATCACTATATACCACTAACTAATATATTTCTCCATTCATAAAAAGTTAACCTAATAACACATGTCCCATTTTGCTTCTAGTTTAAATGATCAACGAGATCATCGGCCTGTGATAAACGTAAAAAAAAGAAAATTTGCGCTGAGGAATACTAGGCACCTCAAAATTATGTAGAACGATATATTTCAAACTATTTATCGTCACAAGCTTCTCCATATGCCCATTTACGCTTACCATAGTGTTTTTTTTCCCTCAATATCTTTTGATTTGTTTATGACTGACCATTTTCATAAGCTAATCAGTTTGTGTGAAAACCATTTCCTATACAGGACGTCACATTGCGCGTGGTGACGTTCTTTTTTGAGAAAATACATTCCCAAATGGGAAAAAACATTCTCAAGTCGTTTTCAACTTCTTGAGTGGTCTCATACAGAAAACCCATGATAATTAATTTATCATGCTACCGATAGGGGGTATACTTTAGTACATTAATGATAATTTTATTTATCGTCTTCCTTGAAAACAATACAGCAAAGTTTCCAACAATTATACCTTGGCCTGTACATAGTATCACCTGAATAACATAGCGGTACTTGTGTGGACAATGATTGTTAGCATGCTTACATCTCATGAACAATATCTAACGCCACACTACCACAATTTGTACATGTTAAGAAAATGGTTCGAATGGTACTTTAAAAGAACATTTTAGCATTTAAGAGTACACAATACCTTCAAAGTAAACATATCATAAAACCAGTAAAACGTACATCGACGAAATTTTGAAGGATTTTGAAAGGGTAAATTATAAGCATGTTTAAATGTTGATATCTGTTCCTGATAACCGGATAATATAAAGGTGTATCTATGCAATTGTAGTTCAGTAAGGTATTTATAAAAGCAATGCATTTTGTTGAAATCTGCACATCAACTTTTAAAAATAAACATAAGTTTTATAGCCTGACATGATTACTGATTTAGGTACTAATCATGGCCGAGAACCGGACGAAATCTCACTGTGAGTTAAGCGTTCTATTGTAAAAAAACAAATTACTAAGAATCAAAACTTTTTTTGAAAATCAATAAAGAAACCTTCCAGATACAAGATATGAATCTTTGAATATCACTCAAAAACTGTCAAAGTTGTACCAATTGTGGTAGCATGACGTTATGGGTGATATAATGAGACAGCAATGATCTGTTCTCTAATTATTTAATGATACAGATTGAGATTGACTTTACAGAACTGTTTCTTTCAATCGTGCCACTGTCTTTACAAATAACAATTAATCTTCCTCTTGTTCATCTTAAACACATTCAAACTCTAAACCATACTAACGTCAATAAAGATCTATCTAAGTATAATTTGATATTGCTTCAGTATAAACTTAAAGGTAGGAGTCAAGTGTGGATATTTTTTAGAGAACCATAAGCCTGAAAATGTATTTCAAATAACATGCTTGGTTCTAAAAATTCTTTGCCAATTATTACGAGTTTGAGCCCTCGTTTCTGCCGTAATAACATACAAGTCGGTTCTCCTCCGTCTGTTATTAACGTGCTTATATGCTACTCCAGAGGTTGTTCGCTGATTTCAAATAAATCCGATTTGTTGACCAAGAAAGCCAAGGTTTTCTACACGAGGAGCATCAGTCTACACTGCACGAAAATTATGATCTAAATCAATACCTAATCTGTAAATAAGAGAACCAGCGTCTATAAATTAAAGACAAAGCTAGTCCTTCGTGTCCTTTACTGTTGTTAACCTATGTGCTTTCATTGATTTGATGACAGAGACAACAGGAGGTGACATTCGTGATGCATGAAACAACTACCCCTTGTCCATTACATGTAACGGACACCGCCCCCAAGTTTGATTCCTTACGTAACCACTTTCGTGTTGATTTCTCCTCAGTTCCTGTTGTTTTACTCCGATTTGACTTTGAGTTAATTTTCAGCTACAAAGAGTTAACTGACGCTGTGGTGTGAATGTATTTTATCATTTTCATCCTCGAAAATGTAAAATCAACTTGAGCCTTTGCATCAGCATACTTAATCGTTCTAGTGTTCTCTCTTTTGATTATATCAACTTTTCACTTTAACAAATGCGATGTTCTTATCGATTTAAACTAAACTCTCTCCTTTGTTTTAAAAGCTATCTAACATGTCCGATTCGGAATGATAAGGAATATTTTTACACAGTTTTAATTTCAATTAAACAGGTGGATAATTTGAAAACAAATTAACCGAAGTCAAATATTTAGCACAATATTTTGCATAGTTTCATGTGTTTATTGCAGATGACGTCAAAGACAATGCTACATGATACGTGTTATTAAGTTATACAGCTATAAGATTACCTGAAACCTCCATTTAAATTTCACATTTGTGTTTAAATGTGTCTTTATGTTATGTAAAGTATGGGATTTCAGCTGGGATTAGAAAGAAAGTTATATTTTAATTGAATGATTGTTCTTTCTGCGACTGGATACCACTTTTTATTTTATATCAATGTTCTGCAAAGCTATGGTTTTCTTTTCAGAAACGTTTTAACAGAGCTATAGTCATGGCGAAAAGGTCCCAATGCATAGTAACAGTTTATGGCAGTGGTAGGTATATCCTTTAGATTAACAATATATATGTTTATATAAAGTTATTTATTTTACGCTAACCTTGTTGCCCGATATCTGTATGTGTTTTAGTCCAGGGTCAAACAGTAAACCTTCCGGAACTATGTTGACCGGTGATTGGTTCTTTCCTCTGTGACAAATGCTCCATTCTAATTTGTTCATCGTTCCCCAGAAACCCGGTCCTAGAAAAAGAAAAGAGAAATGTAGAAAATGTATTATGCAGAGAAATTTAATGGAAAGCTTTACTGAGGTAATGTCTCAGCATTAAGTGAAAAAGCACATTAGCAGTAGGACTTTTTGTCGTAATGTTTCATTTGGGACCGCCATCAATAATGGCCCTGAGTCGGCACATCACTGCTGTACCGTTATCTGTGGAAGCAAGGCCCTGAATCAGCACATTATTCCTCATTCTGTTATCTACAAGGGGAGGTTATTGTGCTGGCAAGGCACGATATCATAATAGATTTCCGAAATAGATTATCTGTAACAAATAAAAGTGCACAGGAGAGTAGGAGGTGCTAACAGGGAGCATAGCTGATAGTTGGTTATATATACACTGACACACAGAAAAGTGTTACCATATTGCATAACGATAGCAATATATAATAACACCGGCAAAATCCATAAATATCAACGAAAGCGAAAGGAAAGCTTTTCAGATATAATGAACCGTTAACGAGAAAGGATTTCGCTAAGATAAGGACGGTATCATCTGTATAATTTGAAACAATTACCAGTTAATGATAAATCAGAAGATCACTTATGTCACACTCCCATTTAAATTCATTCTCCATTAGTGGGTTTATCGATCGCGTTAAGAGTTAGGTTGTTGTAACGTATTGTAGTTGAACTCACTGTTATCTGTTTGTTGTATAGTTTTACACCAGGCATAAGTTGAGATATCTTATTACCAATTTAGGTTGAGATCGCCAGACTATTGTTACTTTCATTTTTTTGTGTTGGTGGAATTCAATTAATCATTTTATTCAATGTGCATTCATAATGTTATTCAAACAAGATTTAAGATACATAGATAGCAACCCTTATACATGTATCACTAACTTCGATTACATAAGAAGATAATTAAATATGCAAACATCGTTATTTTAATATATTTATGGATGTGTTCTAAGCAATTTCAAAGAGTTTTCATTTTTATGAACAACACAGTTTCCAAAAAAAAAAAGAAAAAAAAAGGAAATTTCAAAAATCGATAAAAGATGATGATAGAATTGAATCCGGAAAAAGGTCGTCTTGCAGATGTGTTAAACATCCAAAGGTCAATGACTGCCGTTCCGTATTATGTGTGAAATCAAGTCTGTAAATTTCTTTGGTTGACTGTTGGAAATCGTGATAATTGTTAACCAATTCATAGTGTTTTAGGAAACTACTACAAAATACTTTCCAAAACATCATGAGCAGCGTAGGAGCGATGTCACTGTGAAAACACTCCTTTGAAAATAAATGTATCCAGAAGTCAACAAGGCACTTGATGTACTATAAAGGTCACTAACGTCCTGGTTAATGCAATAATGAAGTGTTACCGCTGGCATATATGGTGTCCTGTCGATAATATGTAATCTTAAGAGTGCAGTATCAATTTAATCACACGCCAGGGTATATTGGACAATTTAACAATTTATGTGACAAAAGATAACATTACTTGTTGCAACTACTGTATAAAAAAACCAACAACAACAAAAAACCTTTTATGTTTAGCATTGATACCACGTCTTTGGAACCAATGTTTTCAGTGAAATATCGACATAACCTCTCAATATCGTCTTAATTGTTATGTGTAGTATTTGAAATCGTGATAAAACTGATTTCTGTGTAATCCAATACCCCTTAATCGTCACCTCAGTTTTGCATTAGACAACGGGTAAGCTTGAAATGCCAAAAGAAACAACATGGTTAGGCAAGGGAGATTAGAAAATTGAAAGAATGTGCTGACAGTAGTTCTAACACTGTTCTCCACTTAGTGTCTCCTAAGAAGAGGACACACATATAAGGAGGATATGATTTTTTGTTTTAGTGTAACAAAATACCGATAATTTTTATGAGTGTGAAAATGCGCTTTGTCAGTTAAATGGAATCCAATGTTTTAGTGGCGTCAATATCATAAATTGACTTTGTGTATCTGTTCTTTTATAAATAACCTTCGTTGATATTAAGAAAAAGGCTTACCGCAATTGTTTTCCCACAATGTTATGCATTGTTCTTTTTAAATACCCCCCAAAAAGATGTGTCATTTGTCAGTATATGGCAAACTGAACGAAGCAAATAACGCATATCACATGGTTTAAGTGGAATATTGTCATGCAATGAAAATTTCATTTAGTCCTATCGTCACCAATATACCAGGCATCCGTTCAAAAAGGAAATCAATTCTTTCCGGAAGTGAGGGAAGAGCGCCGTTTTCTCCGGTCCGTTTTTACATTGCTTTTATTGGTTTTAAACTAGCGTTTGTAGACTACACAGCGATCTGATTTAATTAAATAAGAGGGAGTCGAACTGATGTTGTGACACAAAGGCGTATTCTAATGATTTCAGGCAAGGATGACCTTTAGAATATTTACACAATGAATTAGAAACAGGATTGTTCAATCATCAGATGCATATTTTGTATTGTTAAGTTAATTGTATTATAAACATGTTAATACTCACAAATTGGTTCAGTATAATACACGTATGAAGCTGGAGGTAATACAATAATGCCTACATCTCCTGCAACGATTGTATTTTACTGAACACACAGCAGGAACCGTTCATTCTACAATTTCAATCTAACTAAACTTTGTAACCATGAGATCGAAGAGTTTTACATAGAATTGAATTATTTTTACGGAATTCTCCATACTGATATGCTAGATTTGACTGATCCTAGCAAACAGCCCGTTAATAACACTGTAATTTAAATGATGTATGGGTGATCGTGAGCGTGTGCTATGGTATTATATTTGGTTCAGGCACGCGTGAAGGTTGGTGCTCAGTGTAACCTTGGCTTAGAATCCACATTGGGTTTATTGGATGTGCGTCTATTTTCAGTTGTTTATCAGATAGACACTCGGTCACGAGCTTCTACGTTCAATGTGTACATAATTCCAATATATACATCGACAAAAAATATCTCTTACAACTAATCTACATACTGCCTTCAATAACTGTCGCCAGGATATATATCAGAGATTGTCAGTAATATACACAAAATACCCCCTTAATAAAACAAAAATTCGAATTAAATTTTAGCAGCATCTCATTATGCATGAATGACGACATATGGTAAACATTGGATTTTGAAATGGAAAAGATAAATTTCTTGCAAAATCCACGAATAACGTCTAAATTGAATTTGGAAAGACATTTGCATCCCGCTTTCCCCAATAAATGTTAGTCGCCGTATTAACGGTTGCCTTTCATATTTAGTCGTCTGTATATTGGATTAGTCGTAGACATTGGAGAGCGGATATCAGACTGTGTTCAGCACAAGGTCAGACGGTAGACATTGGAGAGCCGATATCAGACTGTGTTCAGCACAAGGTCAGCCAGTACACATTTTTTAACACCACGTTTGGTGCTTCACTTTGGTAATTAAGAACGACTAATTCATATAAATTATGATCAATTTGAAATTAACGTAAATTGTTTTAAATATTGATTTGCATGTTTAGTTTCTATAATTCTTTTGTCAACATCAATATTTCCCCACATTTTTACAGTATAAAATAACGTGTATAGATTATACCATTCAAAAACATAGAAAACAAAATATTCATCCAATGCATGTAAATAGTTAAACATTATTTCGTTCTATAAAAGTTCAAAAGTTCTTATTAATTTTTCAATCATGTATTTGCATTTTCTGTTTCTCTATTTCCTTAAACATATTTTACCTCTTTTCAAACGATAAAATGATTCAAAATAAATTGCGAAGGTCTTTGATGTTGTGATGTAATTTAAAACAAGACGTTCACTAATGCAATATTTTGCAAACGTTATTGCGCTATAGGGAACCGCTATTGCCAAGAAATTGCATAGTAATAAATTACAAGTTGAAATAGTTTGAATTTTATTCTCGATAACTTTATTGAAATGAACCGTACATTTGTAAATGACATTCACTGATTCAGTGATTGGTCCATTGACAAAGGGATCCCAATCAAAGTTTCTCCCGAGTACAGTAAAGTCTTTTTTACTCCAATAACAGATACAATACTCTTCAAATTGATGAACACAACGTTTACAAACAAGTCTGAATCTGTCTTATCTTCATTAAAATATTTATCTCTTTGCACGCATCTATCTCGTTGAATAGCACAAAATACATTAATACACATTGACTTGATATCCACGTGAAGTTTAATCCATCTTAAAATTGTAATGAAATTCTGCTGTGACATTATTGCCACAAGTACAAGCCACCAATTTGAAATCGTATGAATGCATTTCATGAATAGAAATAGCATACGTGTTCAGTCCTAATTGGCAGAAGTATAACAATGGTTTATGTAAATTGGTTTCTTTTTTTCTATTGATGCTAAACTATTATTTTATTTCTGAACAAAAATGAACTATTCCCTTTTCACTATACAGATATCAGTGGAAAATATTATGCCTAATTCAGAATAATAAAGTGAAAACAGTTACCAATGTAATTCACATTCAAATTGACAAATTAATAGGGTTTTTATTTGAATTTGGTGATAAAGTCTCCTTTTTTAAATTGCATCATTGTCGGTGCAATATAAAGCGAGCTATCGACCTACTATCATTATCTTCATGGCATCAACATCACTGTGCTTAACTGTGATTTATTTGTGAGAAGTGTAATAAAACTTAATTACATCCATCTATGAATGTTTTCTAGTCATGAATAGATTCCATTAACAGTGAGTATTTCTGCTTAATGTATATCAAGACGTAACCATGGATAGGAGAATGTTGTCACCTCATTTAAAATATGACCTAAGGCAGGGCTGTTAGCAAAACAAATTTGAATTGCACTCTTTAAATAATATATGTTCATCATTGCATTTCGCTTCCGTTTGATTTTATCATTTCTTCTATCTCTTTGTTTTCGTTATCTACCGCGCAGAAATACTTTTGAAACTGTCTAAATCATTTTCCGATACCGATGTCGGAAGATTTTGTTTTGTTTAGTTTATTTCTTACGAAACTGAAC